GTGAGAGCCCCCCCCCCCCCCCCCCAGGCCCAGAGGAGGCCCCCCCACATTGACACCCCCCCGCCCTGGCCACAGCTCACCTTCATGATGCGGCCCTTGTCTGCCAGGCTCAGTGCTGCTGGCCCAGGCTCTGTGGGCACATAGGCAGAAGGGCTTAGACCTGTGGCCCCCCCATCCCCTTTGTAGCCCCCCACATGCAGCCACAGCCCCAAGACCCCTGATTCCCTCTGGGACCCCCCACCTCAGACCCAACCACAGCCTCCTGATACCCCCACTTACCTGGCTTGGGGGGTCCCCCTTCCAGGAGGGGCTGCCGGGTGGGGGAGGGGGCTGTGGGCACATAGGCAGAAGGGCTTAGACCTGTGGCCCCCCCATCCCCTTTGTAGCCCCCCACATGCAGCCACAGCCCCAAGACCCCTGATTCCCTCTGGGACCCCCCACCTCAGACCCAACCACAGCCTCCTGATACCCCCACTTACCTGGCTTGGGGGGTCCCCCTTCCAGGAGGGGCTGCCGGGTGGGGGAGGGGGTCTCAGGGGTCGGAGGCAGCAGCAGGCACCAATAGCTATAATGGGCGGGGCGCTGTTAGAGACAGCTCTAACCACTGGGCCTCCCTCCCGTCACCCCCGCCCCCCCCAGCACTGACCTGAGCAGCAAGACGAGGGGCACCCCCATCATGGCCAGTAGGGTCTGCGGGGGGCTGAGCCCCGCCTGTGTCAGCCCCAGGTAGGAGACGGCCCCCAGTAGCCCCGCAGCCCCCGTGCCCGACGACCACCATGACACCGGCCCGCTGCAGGAGGGGGTGAGGGTCAGGAGCCCACGTGTCCGGGTCCCTCAACCCCACTAACACCAAAGAAAGGCTTCAGGTGTCCATCCACCCCAAGGCACCCCCCAGCACAGGATGAGGAACCCAGGCGTCCTGGCTCCCGGCCCCGCTGCAGGCAGGAGGGGCCCCAGCGGCCGGCGCTACCTGGGGTAGAAGGCGGTGAGTGCCAGGAAGGTGATCTCCCCCAGCCCCGACGACACGCTGGCCAGCACCACGCCTGGGGGCAGAAACAACCCACAATGCAATGATACACAGGAAGGCGCTGAGTGGGACCCCCTTACCCACAATGCCCCAGCAGCCCTGGCCCCATGCCCTTACCCACAATGCACTCACCTGCCAAGCTGAGGGCCACGCTGGGTGCCACAGCGACGAGCAGGAAGCTGCCCCAGGCGCTGAGCACGCAGATCCCCACCCGAAGGCTGGGGGGGCAGGAGGCCGGGTCAGTGCGGGGGGAGGGGCTAGGATAGGTCCCTCCCCCAGCCCTGGTACACCCGAAGCACCGGGGCACTTGCATCGTCCTAAAGCACAGTCCCTCCCCACAATGCCCTGGGGCCCGGCTCACCCGTAGGGCAGCAGGTGGATGTAGAAGGGGGCCGAGACCTTGATGACCAGCGTGGGCAGGATGTCAGCCAGCAGCACGGCCTGGGGGGCAGGATCATGTCAGGCCCCGCCCCCGAGAACCCCCCTCCCTGCACGCTCCGCCTGCCACTCACCCCCGTCGACATGGCGTTGCAGTCGTAGTGCGATGACCCGTTGGGGGACAGCGGCTCCAGAGGGCCCTGCAGGAGAGGGGCGGAGCCTGTTACCACAGTTACCAGGGGTCCCAGCGCAGAGGACCCGCCCCCACCCTCCTGACCCCGCCCCTACCGGCTGCGTGCCATTGGGCGGCCCCTGGTGGCGCCGCAGGACGTCGTGGGCGGCGCTGAGCATCACCACGTAGGCGAAGTTGTTGCACAGGCCCAGGATCCTGGGGGCCGGGAGGGAAAGGCTGAGAGGCCCCGCCCCCAGCCCTAGGCCCCACCTCCTTCCAATTCTCCCACAAGTCCCACCCCTTGTCATGGACCGCAGGAGGTTCCCCCAACTCAAGCCCCGCTCCTCTGCTCACCAGAAAGCGATGCCATTCCTCCAGCTGGCGCGGTCAGAGGTCGCGGCGGGTGGGGAGGGCTCCTCATCTGCATGGGGGAGGGGGAAGGGATTCAGAGGGCGGGGCCAACTGAAGGGGGAGGGGCAAGGGAG